AAACTGCGCGACGATTTAATAAGCAGTTTCGAAGCCAGCCCGTAACAAAGATTTGCATTTCCGCTTTTATGTAATACGACGCGTTATCCTCTCGTGTACGTGTATACAGTTTAGTGCTCCGTTACGTTTCAACGTTTACAGTTTTAATATAATTATTGTTAGTGGTATAGGTAACTCAAACGAATAAAATACAAATAAAACGAGAGTTCGATAACTCGAATTCTAGGACGGCTCGGGACTTTTTTGCAGGTCACTTCAACTTCGGGTTAACCAAGTCCGACTGTAATACACTGCGGGGTACTGTAGATAGTGCGGCGAAATACCCTCCCTCGCTTTTAAAGGCGTACAAAAAAAAGAACGACAAAGAAAGAACAATAATATTATTTAATCGAAAACTGTTTTTATATACATACATACGTGTTTTAATTTATTGATTTATTTGGTTTTAAACGAAATTGTTCGGTTAAGAGGTTTTGGCCGTTCTTGAACCCGTCGCTTATTTATTTATTTATTTTACCGACAAAATGTCCAAATGTCAACTACAATAATAGCAAAAGCGGGTATGCAGTAACAATGATTAACAAGTACCTACAATGACGATGTTGTAAAATGGTAAAACAATATACGAGAACAATCGAATAGAAGAAAAACAATGTATCGATATAAACAAAAGATTTGTACAACATTATCTTTTCTTTATATATGAAAAACAAAGTGCCATTTCGATGTCAGGGGTGATTTCAGAAACTACTTATCCAATCGTCATGCGGTTTTTTTTTTAAATTATATTAAGCATATCCCGGAGAAGGTTTGAATCCATTGCAATCTTCGATCGGACCATTATAAGTATAGTAGACCTAATCAGCTGTAATCACTATTTTGGTTTGGATACAAAATAATGATTTATATCTATTTTCATTGATTAGCGACTATAAAACGTCAGTGGTGGCTCGAAGTATTTTTACCTCGAATCATCGATTTAAACGCTCTGAAACGCACTTTATCATTATTAATACATTTGTTTTAGAACTAGAATATAGAAATCCAATATAAAATTATATTTCCTTACATTATTTATTTGTCACCGAATTAAGTTGTCAGTGAGGTTCAGATAGCGAAGTCCAAACGAAAATAAGGAATTTTATTTCTAAATTCCACTTATATAAATAATGTTGACCATTCGCTTGAAAATTAAATTATTAAATATCAAACGTTTTCAAATTTAAATAAAGTAATATATGATAAAAATGATGTATTTAATTTATTAAAATAGTTTCACGAAAAGTGAGATGTATATCCAAATATTTTAATTGCACTTAGATCGTATTTAACCGTCCCAGTTGTTCATTGTTCGGCCGAAAAAGCATTTTTAACGTCGACGCGAATAATAAATGAATATAGGATAAGTCAGACTCAAGAAAATCTAACAATATTAATGATTTTGTTTTGAGGGAATTATATTGTACTGTTTTCTCAGTTTAATCAAACTTCACGAAAATTCGGAAAAGGTAAAGCCATACTTAACTTTTCCATATTCAGGGCCAAATTTAGGGCGGGGAGAGTAGGGCCCAGGTCCGGGGCCTCGCACTCGCGCAATACATATTAATGCGAACAAAAATGTCGAAGTATTTGTATTCTGTACTGCATTTACAAGATCAACTGAAAGGAAATCATATAGATTCGGCATTAGGTTTATACTCGTATATACTCGTATGTATATCGGCGACAAGCAGGAAATGAAAAAAATATTTGTGTTTATGATTTAGTTCAAGAACTATTGATTAGTCAAAATATAATTAAAAAATTGGCAATTCCTATAATTAAAATACTTTATTTTACATAAAAAACCAATATAGCTTTTCTAAACTTAAACATAGTTTCTAAGATAATGTTGACTAATGTTAACTATTCCAATATCTTCGAGTAGCTCAGAACGCAGCCTCTTGAGTTGAAAATGTATAAACGTTTATTAAAAAAGCACTAAGTCTTAAGAGCTTTTCTGACTTGACGCTGTATATTAGCTATACAAAGGGAGTATACAAGTTTAAATTATGGAAACATCATTGAAGCATTCGCGGGCAAACAAATTATAAAAATAAAATTTAAATGATGTTTAAGTATATGACTATAAATATAATAAGAATTATGTTTCGTTGCGTTGTAACAGGTAATAAATAAAAACTATGCTAAACATATTTTAATCACGTATTGACTTTTTATTTATACTTGATTGTAAATATGTATACATAAATATAAACATGATTTAATATGATTAAAATAGTTTTTATTAAAATAATTAATTATTAAGTAAAAATGATGTAATATTTTCTTTAAGTTCGTGATTTTTAATATTTGTTTAAAGTTCAGAGAAATGTATTTATAATTGTGCAGCAGGCTGAAATTGTTTTCGCTAATGAATGTTATTGCTACAGCTAATTAACTGTACACATTTTTTCTCTCTATAAAATGGCTAACTTCAAATTTTTTAAAAATAATAAAATAAAAGTTATTTTTTTAAGCTTTTACGAAAACACAATTGAAATATAAATATTTATAGTCTGTAACCCTGTCAGTAATATAAAAATAAAGAGAATATGATTTATTGTAACCGGAGATATTACAATGAGTATATATTATCTTCGAGGGACACTCTGTATTATTTGTTGTAGCTAATCAGTTTTGCAGAGTTGCAATAAAAAAAAATACATTTTAGTATAAGAGATAAAAGTCACTGATACATATACATATATATATATATATAGCATAGCATCATTTTAGGTAATTTTACAACGTGCGTTACGCTAGCCCCCCATTTTCAAAATTTAGATATTTTATTATTCCATCCTCTAGTACCTATACGTCATTTTTACGATTTTGTAAGCAATGACCCAGAATTTGTACGACCGAAGGAGCTAGGTTATAACAAAAACCCTTCGGGGGAAAAGGAAGAATCCCGTGACGTCATACCAGCCCCCGGCATAAGAAATATGAAATTTTTCTTTTTACCGATCCTTTGCGCTCTATTTATACGTATTTGTAAGCGCAATTTGAACATTCGTACACTATTAGTTTGCGGGGTTCACAATATATAATTATAATATTATAATATGAAATATGAGTAATTGATACCTATTTACTAATATTCTACTTTGAAAGAGAATTACAAAATTATTTTACAAATAAGTGCACTTTATTTTTGTATAAAATATTTTAAAACAAAGTCATTTTGGTCACTAAAATTAGAGCACAAAAAAATGTTATTATTTTTTATGTCGGGTACTGGTGTAACGTCACGTCACCCCCTCCCATCCTCCGAAGGGTTTTTGATATAACTTAGCCCCTTCGGTTGTAAAATTTCTGGACAACTGCTTACAAATTCGTACAAATGACGTACGAAAGGCAAAATGATGAAATAATAAAATTTCCCTAATTTTTAAAGTTGGAGGAGGGGGTTGACGTGACGTACGTAATTTTACAATTTTAATTTTTAAGAAAATAATTTTAATTTACAGGTTGTTCAGAGGAGGTACCGGTTCCGTCAACTTATTATAAATGTTTCGAACGGTTGACCCTGCACGATTTTGGTGGCCGGTCAACAAAGTAGGTACCTGTAGTTTCAGCTAACTCGGGCACATCGACGTCTCCCACCGGATCATGAGATATGCCCTTGATTTACACGCCCATTATGCTTTTCGGAACGCGTGAAACGATCGTATGTACTACTTGCAAAACTGTCTCAGTAATTAAATTTAAAAACCGTAAATCTAATAGGTATTACAATAATTTCTAACACACTTAAAATATCATACGTATAATTAATAAAGACGCGCATCGAGCAGGTATGTTCAAAGTTCTACAATCCTGGACAAAAAAAAAAAAAAAAACGAACTTTCTGTTAGAAAAATATATACCTTTACATTATTATAATAAATTAAATCTCGTTTTTCTTTCGTGTAACACCAAGGGGAATTAGATAAAAGACACATTCGATTTTCGTATTTATTATAACATACATTTAAATGACTAGGACCCTGAATAATAATATGCACTAAAACGTACGAAATATGTATGCATTTATGCACTGATCATCATTAAAATATGTACTTTAAATATGTAAAAATATGCAAACCATAATGCATGTTCACGAAAACTTACTTAATATGCAGGTTATCCTCGACTGAATTATCTTTATCTAGAAGCGATTAGATGATGTAAGAAAACAAAGGCCTCACGAACCATAGGTATATGTGGGTAAAACTAACGAACAATAGTAAAACAAATGGGTATGGAACACTTAGGTATTCGACTATAATGCAATGAAAAATCGTATGACAAAATATGTATAGATATTTCGAATATATTGACTATAATTCAAACTTGTAGCTTATCTAGCTACTTTTTGGACTGTTAAATAAAAAAAAAAAAAAAAAAAAAAAAAAAACATGCATATTAAAAACTGCATAGGAGTTTGCTTAGGTAAGGTTTGATGGCAGCGGTCATGCCAGTGACAAATTATGTATCGCAATTTTCGTCTTTCAAGGAATAAAATATGCAAGTGTGAGCTCCGATCGAAGGTCGAATTTCTAAAAATCCTTTCTATACTACTAATACGCGTGTTTCAGGATTTAAATAATAATTTAATACAAACTCCTGCATACATTATTGTTATTTTCAAAGTTGAATTTGATTATTATAAATAAATAAATATATGCATATTAATCATATGAAACAATTTTTGGCTACTTTTTATCACACACGTTTGATCCATGTTTAAAGTTTAGCTTCAACTGTAATCACCTATAATATAATATTATATCGGCTAAATAATTAGCGTTGTAGTCAGGGTTACCAAAATGAAAAATAAAAAACCCAACCACAAATGATACAATACATATATAAATAAATCCAGATTAATACATTTCCCATACGTCAAAAACACATAACACGCGGGCAAATACGGAAGAACACAGTACAATTTACATTGTTTACACGATTGACACATGGAAAAAACCATTAGTGGCACGCCGACAGAAATAATGTCAAAACTGATATGGGAAGAGTCTAGTTTGATGAAGTTGGCTAGGCCGATCACGATGGTTGTCAACACGATGACCGCGATAACCACTGACAGATCTGGCAAAGAATCGGACGACAAACGGCCACCGACAGAGAATAATGACGATTGGGAGAACTCGGAGGGAGAATACCAGGATAAATTAATAATCATGGTCGACAAAGCAACGCTGATGCCGAGTCAGACTATAGACTCTGGTGTGGTGGAAACTTCCCGACGGTCGACTAGGAACTCCGATGGTCCATCCGGTGCATCAAAAACTCATCGGCGTTTGAGCTGGGACCCCGACGGTCCGTCCGGTGTGCCAGAATCTTCTCGTCGTGCGAACAAGGAATCCGAAAAAACGGCGATTTTCTTGAAAACTTCACGACGTCTGACCGGGGACTCCAGTCAGGAAAATTCATCTGCAAAACGACCGACACATAATAATTCCTGCCCGTCCCGAGTAAGAATACTGGAGAAACTGGTATGCGAGAATAACGAGCCAGCGGTACCCATCACACATATGATCGAGTGCGCCGAAAATCTGATGGCCGTTCTAGAACAGCTTAGGCTCGACTTACCGTCCACGAATGAGAATTGTGACGCTGTGTTCGATCTGATTAATAAGGTACAGTGGTTACTCAAGGACCTTGGTCAGACGTCCGGGTCGTCGGATCAGTCTCGAATACTGATGGAAAACTACGACAATTACCGGAAGGCGTACTACGCTCTTCAAAACCACTTGGCCCATATTGAACAGCTGACCGATCAGTGCGGTATTACCAGGCGACCGCGAGAGGTCAACGCAGAGAAAGCAATAGTGAGGCTTCCGGAAGAAGGAAGTAGTGGCAAGAATGAGAATTCGGGCGATATCTGCTGCGTCGTCATGCTGGAAAACGCTAAGAGCAATAGGAATTTCAAAGGACTGTGTAAGTGTCCGGGCCTGCTGGATCTGACCTATAGCAATAAGAACAAAGACGTGAAAGTCCCCGTCAAATCAACAAGACCTGTCAAAGACGACGCGAAAATATTCGATTGGAAGTCTCTTATCAGAACTGTGTGCAATTTATGTTTCCCGTGCAAATTATTCTGTCCGATGAAATGATATCATATAACACGGTTTTGACGAAAATGAATGTACAATTTTTAAACGACAATAATTTGTAAATAATTTTCTATTCACTAACTATAGATCAGAGAATTCAACTGAAAATTTCTCCAGTTATTTTTTTATTGGAGCAAGATTTATAATCGAAAAGTCGTTTGCAGACATGAAATATTTAAAAATTTTAAAAAAAAGGACAGACATACTTCACACGTGGATGCAGTCACTGTTGTAGGTGGGAAGTTGGGAAGATAGGCTAACAGACGGGAATAAAATATGTATCTGTAAGCACCGATAAACCATTGCTAACGAAAAAACGATTCTGAGCCGAGTTCAGTTGATAATGTTGCTTTGTCAACAATAAAATATATGGTATTATGTCATATTATGGGAAAATGATTAAAATGATGTGCGTTCACATGACAACAGTGATTGTTTGAAAAAGATTGAAATAATAAAAACTTAATAATTACAAAAAATATATAAAAACGGTTGCCAATGACAGCTTTAATTTTAATCTTTCAAGTTTGTTTAACCTAAAGACCGAGATCTTCCTCATTATCTCGAATATTAATGATAATTTTAAAAAAAAGGTAATATACTTGATAACCGGAGTGTGCTTTCTGGTAGAAAAAGTGTTCGCATAAAAAAAAAAAAATAAACATCATTGTCAAATCAATCCATTGGTTAATCGTTCCATTTAGAATCTAAAAAATAAAAAAACACATCTTGGACTAAGGTCCATCCCTCCATACGCTCCGAATATAAAATGTTATTTAAAACGATATTTTATACGTTCGCCGTACGATTTGTGTACAGCGGCCTAACGCAATCGCTATCTCGTTAAAATCGATTTGTAATTTACCTATTCAATTTGCAGCGATAAACACGTTTAACAGTATATACCCCGATCTGAGCAATGGGTTTTTGTTCCCAACGGTTTATCGTACCAACACATCATATGTAAACAATAATTTGTTTTACCTCCCCTCCGTCGATTTCCCACGTTCCGAGCCCGTTCGTGTAATAATAAGCCGGTTGTTAAAACGTTTCCCTCCCTCCTCTTCCTCACTGTCACCACCGATAATCGAGCGTACCGATGCGTATACAGCCTCGCGGAGTCTAACCGAAACGGCAACAGCTGATGCCGACGTAGGTACCACATCACGCGTACCAGCCGTGCACCGAGCGCGATATTAATATGTAATATTCCAAAAAAAAAAAAAAAAAAAAATAGGAAAAAAAAACCGAGTCTGCGGAAAATGAAATTCTAAATCGTTTTATTACAATATTTTTAACCCGTAATCACTGCGGCGCGGTTGAATATATTATTATTGTAATATAATAATAATAATATTATATTATGTATGTACACGGTTTTCGTTAAATAATCAATTCGGGAGTTTTTACCGGCTCGCCTTATATTTTCTTCTTCCGAACGACCGAGTAAATGATGCGCATTCAGAAAAAAAAAAAAAAAAAAACTGATTACGGGTCGAGACCGACGACGACGACGACGGCGACGCGAAAGTTATTCCACGCGCCGAATCCCCAATCGAATATTATACATAAAAATGCACGGCGGCGGCGGTGAATACGATTTGAATGTAAAAAAAATCTAAAAAATTACGGATGCCGCCGGATTACAATAACAATAACAAGATAAAATTCGGACGACGAAAGGACCGGTCGGCTTCACGCGATTATAATTTATAACGTAATAATATTATAATTTAAACACGAGTTCGAAACATTTTTCGCAATAAAATCCAAGTCGGCGACGACGTCCGAGTGACACATATTTAAATAAGTTGAACGATATTGACGTCACGACGTATTGTTGATATTTTTTCTCGAATTTTCCGCGTGAATAATGGAGACCGTTGCGTATTGTGTGTTGTTATAATTTTATTCCTGTCCCAGTTTTGGACAATATTTTATAGAGTCCCTCCGGGCCGAATGAGCTCAACGCCGAGGTTTTTCTTTTATTTTTTGTAAACGCGTCGCTGCGATATCGTTTCGGTTTAAAGTCCAATACTTGTAGAAACGAATATTTCAACATGCTGTCGGGGTGCTATGCACAATTCACAATACTGACCTCGTTTTATGTTTACAATCATTTATGTTTGGCCAAACAAAATGTTATTAACTTCTTCTTCTCCTTCGCCTTCACCCCAACTATTTAGGGTCGGCCACCCTCATTCTACACTTCCACCTAACCCGATTTCCCATTTTGCAATCATTGGCTGACGTTATATCATTCTCAATCGCCGCATCCAACCACCAATTTTCCGGTTTTCCTCGTACGTTTGTATTCATTCAAATGCTTACTGCTTTAAATTCCTCTTTCACTATAACACACCAAAACCATATCAGTCTATTTGGTGTTTGTCCACTATCGGAGCCTCGTCTAATTCACCTCATTTCTATCCTACCTACTCTCATCACTCCGCTCATTCAGTATCCACTTAAGCATTCTCGTCTCTGCTACACTCATTCACTGTTCTAATTTTCTGTCTACCGATCAACACACCAAACCATCATTACAACATAGTCACATTTGTAGAACTTATTTTTAATTTTCATTGGAATCCTCCTGTCACACAATACACCTGAAATTTCTCTCCACTTTATTCAACCATAGTTTCAATCTTTTGTTTAACGTCTTCGTCGTTTTTTTTTGTTTTTATTCGTTTTCGTTATCTACAAGTTACGAATAATTTTTTTTCTTTATTATTACTATTTGAATTGTTTAAATTTGAACATTACAATATTTCATTACGGCCCATAAATTATCATTAACATATTAGTTTGTATAAAAATATAATAAACCCTCAAACGTCACCACATCAATATTATTGCGGAATCGCGGTATTTCAGGGTGAACCGAAAGTCCGTTTGTACAGCGGACGACGTGCGAGGAGAATCGCGCGTGCTATCGCGGCCGTTTCGTCGTTGCGTTCGGTACGCTTACGAAATTCGACTGTGAATTAGTGGCGCCTGTACGCGCACTACGCCCTACGCCCTGACGACTTCGCCCTCGCCCGGGAAAACGTCTTCTTGAAAAAAAAAAACCGCGGCGAAATTTCCCGATTTTCGCCGCCACGCGGTGTTTTTGATAGAAAAAAAAAAAAAAAACGCACAGCATAACGGTGCCGTCGCGATGCCCGTGTATACGTTTAATACCCCGGCCCGGCCCCTCGCACGCCGGGAAAAAAAACCGCAGTGCACTCAAACGAGCGCCGCGCGTGTCGTTCCCGTCAAAGGAAAAACATCGTATAAAATAGCGACCCGCCGCCGCCGTCGCGTCTCAAAGAAATATTTCGGATGTCGCGGATTTCGCGCGGGCGCGCGGACGGAAAGGACGGCGAAAAACCCGCCGCGTAATAATGTCATACCGATCGTCTTATGTTACGATGCGTACGCGTCGTTAATAATAATAATAATAATAATTATATATTTTAAAACGCGTCTACCGGCAAGACGATTATCGCGTCGCCGGCGGAGGAAATTCCGCGTATTTACGTACAAAAACGAAATAACATCCGAGGCCCCTCGGCTCCCCCGCGCTATTCAAACTATTTCGCATCGCGATGTTCGTCGGCGAAAAACGCCGGAAATCCGGACCGAACCGAATGCCCGCGGCTTTGATGCCCGCCGAGAATGCGCGTGCCTGCGCAACGGTTAAAATACAATTATTATTCGCATTATATAAAATATCCTATTGTGCCGCGTGCGCGCGTACCTGTATCGGAATGTTTTGCGCGAACGGCCGAACGGCCCGGATAACATTATTTTAGTATGTTACCGTCGTCGTTATTATTACCATCATTATTATCATTATTATCATTATCATTATTATTATTATTATTATTATTATTATTATTATTATTATTATTATTATCGTTGTAAGCTGCGGCCGCGCATGAATAATACACGCGCGCGGAGTTCGTTTTTCGCGAATAATCCGGTAAGCCCGTAGACGCATCCGTAGGACGTAAACAGGACGTATTTAAGCCGCGGCGCGTTAGTGAAACGCATTGAAGTCTGAAGCCTGCGTAACATACGCGCGACCGGGACAGACTCGTGCGGAAAAATCGGTTTGATGTAAAAACCGCCTGCCCAAACGGTCACTATGAAATACCATTGTAAATTCCATTTTCAGATAGCTTTATTGGACAACTCCGTCATAGGTTCATTGCGCATCAATCTCGAATTGCCAATTTTCGCTGTCTCCTGTACCGCACAATAATTTGCCAGACACCCGGGGAAGAGAAAATATAAAAAGTTTGGCAGACAGGTACAGTGAAAATCGACCAGTTTATTAAAACTATATGTTTATTTTCATTTATTCGTACGTGTATTATATTTTATCGATTACAGACAATTTTCAATATTTTTAAATACCTACTTGTATAAAATAGTGCAAAAAACAATTTTAAAAATAAAATAATAACACTCATATTAAAAAAAGACATGTTTCTACTTCACATTTTTTTCACATTTATGACCACCAAAACATAATACATATAATTAAATATATCGCTGTATCTAAATTAATATGAGTCCACAATAATATTCTATTAACTTAAAAGTAAAAGTCTAAATTCTTGGCCCACCAAGATTAATTGTTAATTTTTACGGCCCTCTGTAAAAAAAGATTGGTCACCGCTGATCTATGGGTTACATGCAATTGTATAACACTCCTTGACAAAAATTGAGATAAAAATCGATAACTGATACACACAACCTGTAGCAGTAATCCTGGTACTGAGTTGTCTTCATATTTATTTATTTGATGCATGATTTTTTTTTTTTTATCAAAAAACACCTTTTCCGTATGTAAAAATGCTCCGATTTTATCTCAACATATATTAAGGTATTAAGGTATTTTGAATTTTGTTAGTTCCTGAGTTTCCATAAAAAAGTACAAGAGAAACATGTACAACTAAAACTACTCCGCTTAGAATCATTTTTCGTTCGTTATGCATACAGCATAT